CAGCATATAATCATTAATTCAGAAAAGGACAAGCCACTGAATTAAGTTCAGGGTAAATAGCAGGGAAGCGGTTTTTAAAAACACAGTACCACCCAAAGCGCCATTCCCACTAATAAGTGATAAATTTGTTTAGCATTTTACAAGACCAAAGTAGAAAAGTAAAGCTTCTAGAAGGATGCAGCACAGAAAAAGCTCCCCCTTCCTTTATCAGGATCCACAATTTTTAAAGGAATAGAAAATCAAATCCTCAATACTTGAAAGGGAACTCTAAAAAGGACCCAGGGGAGAAAAAGAGGCACCGAAATTACCAAATTGGAGGGCAAACTTCTTTTATACTGTAAAAGCATACAGCGTAGGCAGGCATCCATAGGGCCATTAAGGGGATGAGTGGGAAGTCACGGACGGATGAGGCTGCAGTAGTCGAAAGCCTGAATGAATTCTCTGCCTGCATATTTACCAAAGAAGCTGAAGGTCACGTCCCGGAAACTGGATACATTTTCTTGAGGGGAAAAGTGGAATGTTAAAAGGATTTTATGATCACACAAGAGCAGATAGTTGAGCAATTAGAACTATTAAAAGTTGACAGGGCACAAGACCCAGATTAAGTACGTCATAGAAATCTGAAAGAAGTGTAAAGGAAACAGGAAATGCCTTCAGCAGCATTTCTTGATAGCTTGCTCAGAAGCAGACTGAAGAATCCGGGCTGGTAGCTGTTCCAGGAGTAGTTGTTTTAAAGAAATCTTTGGGATCTTTAGAAATCTAGCCAGCAATAATCTGAGTCATGGTTGAAAAGCAGATAGTGCCTACCATCAGACCATCATTTTGCTTTTATAGAAATACATAATTTGGTAAGTTAACATAAGCTTGATAATTCAAAAATAATTGACATTTTCACAGAAATAGAGCATTTTTGAGCTATTCTGCACAGGTGAAAATGGAATTCACTTACTGCTTCTGAGTTTCTAACGTTATTTATTAGAGACAGTTCCTCTATAATTTGTCTGCATTAAGTGAAATAGTGGAAGAGTAAACAAAAATAAAACGAAACTGCCCCTAAATGCAAGGGAATGTGTATTGTGAAATGGAAAGGAAAGATTTTTGGAAATTATTGTCCTGATGATTACTTTTATTATCCCTGCCATCATCGAGCTGCAATTATGAAACACATACTGCATCCAACATGCTAGCAAGACAGAAGGCTGATAAAGGAGTCACTCTCTCCTGTCTCAAGGTCTGGATTTCACACTGATTCAGCTCAGACCTTTTTATCACTGTCTTACCAACTATCATGTCAGAGCATCATTTTTAAAAACAAAAATTAAAGACACTCTACTTTCCGAGGAAGCGCTTAGAATAAGCAACTGCTTCTTCCACCAACTTCCAGTTACATTTCTATGAACCAATAAAAACAATGTGAATAGTCACAAGATTGTGGAGTTAAAATCTAAGGGACAAACATTATTACTTAATGTTTTTTAACCACTTAGAAACTACATTTTCTTTTCCTTTTGCCATTCCCACCTCGCTCTATCTTTTCTTTGCTTCCTAGAAATGTCTGTTGAATTTCCTAGACCAGACTGTAAGATTTAACAATAAAAACATGCAAACATGTTACTACTGCCCTGAAGTAATCCCCAATCTAATGGCAATGACAACAGTGTGATTGAGGCTAAACTAGTGTAAAGCCCAGCGTGTCCAGAACTACTGAAGGAAGTACATAACACAGCCATGGTCAAGTCAAGGAGTGACTGGGGCATAGAAGGCAACAGATGTTGATCAAGTGAAGAAGTGAGGACAGATATTTCAAATATAAGGAGTATACTTACAAGAGTTTAGAGGTGGAACAATGAAGTAAACTTCAAAATGACTTGACCAGATTATTTCCCTAATTTTCAATTTTTATACTTCTTTTCTGCCAAACCCTACCACACTAACTGAACTGCATTTATCATTAGATTTAATTTCTTATATTTTCTTAAAAACAAAAGAGCAAAAGCAGGAAATGAAACACAGTGAATAAGATCTGGGTGATTTAGGAAAAGGACATACTAAAAGTGTTCATGAATTTCAGAAATGTATGCATTTTTGTTTAACTTTTTAATTAATTACCTGGGGTTGGGGGGAGTCATATAATGCAAAAGTGAAATTTCTGTTGCTTACCAAAAAAATAAGATAAAAGAAATAAGGGTGGTGAAGAAAGGTGGCAGCATTACATGACTGAATATATTAGGTTCTGTGGACCTGGACAGAACATGTGTAACTCATGCAGAAAAGTGGGAAATCATATTGCTAGGCTAGCCATAATCATATTTCATAAAGAGCACAGTAGGTAATATGAACCAGAGTACAAACATGGAGATGATTATATGAAGATCATCATAAAAATAATACTATCTAATTTTTTTGTTATCAAGCTATGTCATTAGAAACCAGTGAAATTATTCTTGCAGATGTTCTAAAAATCACTCGAATCACCTCTGTTTCTAAAGCTGTGTTGCAACTCAATACTTGAATGTGCATCCACTGTTCCTCTTCCTATGCGTACTGTAGAGTCCTAGCTGGGAAGCTGGTTCTGCTGGCTTTCGCTTTCTTCTTTACTTACCTTCTTCACCTGAATCCACGAGTCACTGTACTAATTCATGTTTCTCCATCTCAGTGAACATCACCAAGCAGTACTCCCAGAAAATGGAAAACACATCTTTAGTATCCCCAGGTCTTTTATTTTATTTTATTTTTTACCTCCTCCACATTTTTTGCTTAATATTGCTCTATTTTCCCTGCTACAATGCATCTAACTCTGATATTTGGGGAAAATGCCTCTAATAATAATTTATTCCTAGTATGTGGTGTGTCAAATTTACACAAGTTATTTTCTATTATGCTGTCACTAATTATGGGAGAAAAATCTTTAGTCTTCAGAGAGAGGAATTTTAGAAACACTGGGACAGAGGAGACAGATTTGCCTAAAGAAAAGGTGGGAACAGGGAAGGGGATGCTATGAAGTCTATAGGGGCTCTGTAAATATATTAGAAATACTGAACATCTGGTACCTGATTGGCCATAATGCTGGAGTGCAGACTGCGGCACGTTGGCCTGTGCTTACATTTTAGTTGCTGGATCACGGGATGTCCATATTTGTAAATAGTAATACTTAAAAGTGACTTATTTCATCTAGCTGACTCTGCAAGTAGGGTCTCTACTGAAAGGAAAAGTTCTTTTTGTATCCCACCTATAATTATTTCTATGCTTACCTGTGTAATTGCACAGCCAGAAGTTGGTTATAACAAAATACCAAATTTTATTAAATATTTATTGAATGATTAATTGACCATTTGCAAATAAAATAAGATCTAAGTGTTGCTTAAATTATCAGAGGTAACAGAAGAATATAGTTATCAATTGATCAATAGTTATATGTAATTAATAACAGCTGATTTCAGCAAATTAGAATTCTGGGTCAAGAACTGCCTTTGACTTGCTTTCTGACCTTTGGCAAATCAATTAAGATCCATGTCTATTTGCTTTCCACACCTCTAAAAATAGAAATAAGAATTTCTTCTTCTCCAAACAATTGCTCAAATGTAAGAGATAAACATTAAAAATAACTTTGAAATAAGTACCATATAAATAGTATTACTTTAAATCAGTGATATATATTCTTGTGAGACACATGAAAATTTCTGGAAACAACACAGTAGTCTCTCCTTATCCACAGTTTCACTTTCTACAGTTTCAGTTACTTGTGGTCAACCTTGGTCTGAAAACATTACAAGATATTTTGAGAGACCCTATTTACATAACTTTGATTATATTATGTTGTTATAATTGTTTTAGTTTATTATTAGTTATAATTGTTAATCTCTTAATGTGCCTAATTTATAAATTACATTTTATCATAGGTATATATGTATAGGAAAAACATTCAGATAGATACTATCTTCAGTTTCAGGGAATCACCTGGAGGGGTCTTGAAACATGTCCCCTGCACATGGAGCAGTGCACTACTGTACTCTAATAAATTAACTAAAAAGAGTCTTCCTTGGAATGAATGAAGTCTAAATCCAAACTACTAAAATAAAAATATTTGAGATAGTGATACAAATTCTGACATGGTTTCTGAAAGAAAAGATGCTATAATAAGAGAAAAGTTGTCACTTATTGTCAACATCTCTCTTACATCTCTCCCTTGTTTGCAACCCTGGCCATCACTGCTGCTGCTAAGGGCAAATCCAGAGTGATGCCTCACTATATGTATGTTGGTTTCTTCAAAATATGGTTTTCAAAATATGGTTTTTCATCACGAGATCATTTCATGATCTCTTTCCAATTTCATGTACACTTTCTTTCTATATAGAGATACTGGATATTTAACTATAATTTTGTCAAGCAACAATACTTTATTTTTAGAAATGGAACAATATTTGTATATCACAAAAAAGAAGTGATTTGTTCAAAGGTTAAATCTAGGTAAACAAAAAATGCTTTATACATATTTCAAAACTATTTTTTCAATTTTTCAAAACGGTTTTCGAAACAATAATTTTTAAAAGTATATAAATTATTCATAATTTCTAGTATTTGGCTGTAGAGAGAGAGATAGAGAGTCTGTCTTCAACTTATATTTCCAAATGTCAATTGTTACGAAAACATACTGAGGAAAAATAAGCTCTAATTTCTAGTAGAAAAATAAATCAGCCATATTTTTTTAAAAGTTGCTAGGAATAGTCTAGAAGAGATGAAAAAATATGGTCTAGAGTTGATATTAAGCCCTTTAATGTGAGTGAAAATTGATTTTAAGTCCATCCACACACATACGCACACACACACACAAGTCCATTCACACACACACACACATAAAGATTTGAGTTATGTGTTATGTTAAACCTGATTTTAATTTGTGTGTGATATTGTTGTTAGAACAGCTTTGAAATTAAATATACACTGCTGATGTAGTATAGTTAAATCTGTACAGAATATATGGTGAACTGTATTTAGTTATAACATCTGTGAGTACTTTGAGCAAGACTCCATAGGACTCACTTTGTAAACTCTAAATCTAAAGTTACATCACATTTTTCAGACTGTGTATCACTTTTGTCTTTTTAGATGTCTGAAATCTTTAAAAATATACCTTCACATGAGAAGTTTAATTTTCACATATGTCCAGTCTCAGAAAGACCCTCAGAATAAGGAAGGTTAAAGAAGGATCTAAGAGGTAATGTTTTATTTCCTTCCGCTGCTATAACAAAATACTATATGGGAGGCCCAGGCAAGAATATTACTTGAAACTAAGATTTTGAGATCAGCCTGGGCAACATAAGGAGATCCTGTCTTTACACACACAAAAATTAAAACAATTAGCCATGTGTGTTGGTGCATGCCTGCAGTCCTAGTTATTCAGGAGGCTGAGGTAGGAGGATTGCTTGAGCCCTGGAGTTTAAGGTTACGGTGAGCTTAACCCATTAATTTTGCAGATAAAAATGCTGAAGTTCAAAGATACTTGAATTAAATTAATAAACTACCCAAGGTCACTCATGTAGTCCCTAACAGTCAGTATTATGACAAAGTCTTCTGATGTTGTGAGCATTTAAGGTCATAGTTTATATAAAAGAGCCACATAGTGTTTACTTCTTTTTCTGAAATTCTTTGCTTTACATCATTTGAAATTGTAAAGGTAACTTTAATTTTAAAGGACATGTTTTATCCCTTTAAAACTTAAAAATATCTTTTTAATAAATGTGGCTTCCTTTAAAGCAATTTAAGGCACTCATGGTTGTAAAAATATATGTTATATATAAAGCTATGTCTGCAAAAAGGTTTTGATCTTGTGTTCTCATTCCATTTTGTTGATTTGTTGAATTTTCAGGGGCAATTTAAAGATTTCATGCCTTATCATGCCTGTGTGTAAATTCGTATGTCTGACAATTATACATAAAACAGTTCCAAAATATCTTAGTGTTACACGTAGACATACATATATAGTTATAACGGTATATTTAGCTTGTTTTGTTAAGAAATGATATTGATTATGAGACTCTATTTTAGTTTATGTTTTATATGAGCAATAATTTTAAAAGTTTATCACATTTAGGAAGCAATGTTGCATAGGAGGAGGGAAGAGCTTTGGAGTCTTAAACACGTGGGGAATCAATCACCCATCAGCATCTGACTGACAGTCAAATGGTTCAGCCTTTCTGAGCCTCAGTTTTCTTATCTGAAAGTAGAATTTAAACCTACCTAGAAGTATTTTTAAATGATTAGAAATCTTATGTAAAGCACCCATATTATTGAAGGTCATGCAACAGACATTTGTTATAAAGCTTATTTTGTAATACAAAGCTAATTTTAAAATTTTAAAATATTTAAGTGACAAATGAAAATTGTATATATTCAAGGTATATAACATTATGATTTTATATAGATATATTTTGTGTAATGATTACCACAGTCGAATTAACACATCCATCACCACCCATCATTACTTGGTGATATGGTTTGGCTCTGTGTCCCCGCTCAAATCCCATCTCTCATGGTAATCATCACGTGTTGAGAGAGGGACCTGTAGTCCCCATGTGTCGAGCGAGGTAGGTGCAGTTTCCCCCATGCTGTTCTCATGACAGTGAGTGAGTCTCACGAGATCTGATGGGTTTATAAGTGTTCGACAGTTCTTCCTTCACACACTAACACTCTCTTCTGCCACCTTGTGAAGACAGTGCCTGCTTGCCCTTCTGCCATGATTGCAAGTTTCCTGAGGCCTCCCCAGTCATGCAGAACTGTGGGTCAATTAAACCTCCTTTATACATTACTCACTCTTGGTACTATCTTTATAGCAGTGTGAAAACAGACTAATACATTTTTTTGGGGGGGTGTAGTAAGATACTTAAAATCTGCTCTTTTCTAAAATTTGAAGTAAACATATTACAATATTATTAAGTCTAGTTACCATTCAGTACATTAGATCCCCAGAACTTACACATTTTATAACTGAAAGGTTGTAGTATTCCCATTCCCAGAATCTCCCCATTACCCACTTCTAGCCGCCCCAGAAGCTGGAAATCACCACTTTACTTTCTGTTTCTATGAGTTTGATTTTGAAGATTCTACATATGAATGACATCATACAGCGTTTGTCTTTCTGTGTCTAGATTATTTCACTTAGGATAGTGTCCTACAGGTTCATCAATGCTATTGCAAATGGCAAGATTTTCTTCGTTTTATGATTGAATAATATTTCAAGGTATGTATACACCACATTTTCTTTACACATTCATCCATTGATAGACATTTAGATTGTTTCCATATCTTGGCTACTGTGAATAGTGCTGCAATAAATATGGGGGTGAAGATAATTTTCCAGATACCAATTTCATTTCCTATGGTTGTACAGTATACACAGAAGTGGGATTGATGAATCATACTATAGTTCTATGTTGATGTTTTTGAGGAAACTCCATACTGTTTTACATAACATCTATACCAATTCACATTCCCATCAACAGTATACTAGAATTTTCTTTTCTCTACATCCTCACCAACACTGATCCCTTATCTTTTTTATAATATCATCCTAACAGATATGAGATATCTCATTGTTATTTCAATGTGCATGTCCTGATGATTAGTGATGTTGAGTACCTTTCCATTTAGCTACTGCCATTTTTATGTCTTTGAAGAAATGTTTATTCAGATCCTTTGCCCATTTCTCTGTTTTGTTTTTGTTTTCTGTTTTTTGAGACAGAGTCTCACTCTGTCACCCAGGCCTGAGTGCAGCGATGTGATCCCAGCTCACTGCAACCTCTGCCTCCCGGGGTTACGTGATTCTCCAGCCTCAGTCTCCTGAGTAGCTGGGATTACAGGCCTGTGCCACCACGCCCAGCTAATTTTTGTATTTTTAGTAGAGACAGGGTTTCACCATGTTGGCCAGGCTGATCTTGAACTCCTGACCTCAAGTGATTCACCTGCCTCGGCCTCCTAAAGTGCTGGGATTACAGGTGTGAGCCACTGTGTCTGGCCCCTTTGCCAATTTTTATTTTGGATTATTATTTTTTGTTTTGCTACTGAGTTGTGTAGTTCTTTAAATATTTTGGATATTAACTTTTACCCCATATACAGTTTGTAAATATTTTCTTCTATTCCATAAGCTGTCTCTTTACTCTGTTGATTGATTCCTTTGCTGTGCAGTAGTTTAGTTTGATTTAATCGCACTTGTCTCTTTTTGCTTTTGTTGCCATGCTTTGGCGATTATAGCCAAAATAAATAAATAAATAATTGCCAAAACGTCAAAATGCTTTCACTCTATGTCTTCTTTTAGAATTTTTATGATTTCAGATTTTACACTTAATCATTTAATTAATTTTGAGTGAATTTTTCTATATGGTATAAGACAAACATTTTATACTTTTTTGTATTCAGTTGCAATGAACAATTCAGTTTTCCCAGCACCATTTATTGAAGAGATGATCACTTTTCCACTGTGTATTCTTGGCACTTTTGTCAAAGATTAGTTGACCATATATACCTGGGCCTATTTATGGGATCTCTTTTCTGTTCCATTGGTCTATGTGTCAGTTTTTATGCCATTACCATACTGTTTTGATTACTATTGTTGTATCATATAATTTAATATCAAGAAGTGTGATACCTTAAGCATTGCTCTTTTTTCTCAAGATTGCTTTGGCTATTTGGGATCTTTTGTGATGTTATATAAATTTTAGTTTTTTTTGTATTTACATCAAAATTTTGATGAGAATTGAAATTCATCAGTAGATCACTTTTGATAACATGGACTTTTTAACAATAGTAATTATTTTAGTCCTAAACATAGATTTCTTTCAATTTGTTTATATCTTCTTCAATTTGTTTCATCAATATTCTATAGATTTTAGTGTACAGATCTTTAACTTCCTTGGTTAGCTTAATTCCCAAGTCATTTATTCTTTTGATGCCATTATAAACATGATGGTTTTCTTAACTTCCTTTTTTAGCTAGTTCATTCTTAGTATGTAGAAACGCTGCAGATTTTTGTTTCTTGATTTCAGATCTTGTAACGTTACTGATTTTGTTCATTAGTTCTAATCATTTCAGTCTAGGGTTTTCTGCATACAAGATTATGTCATCTGCAAACAGAAATAATTTAACCTCTTCGTTTCCTATTTGATACCTTTTATTTTTTTTGCTTATCTAACTGTCCTGACTAGGACTTCCAGTACTATGTTGAATAGAAACGTCAATAATTGGTACTCTTTTCCTTCCTTCCTTCCTTCCTTCCTTCCTTCCTTCCTTCCTTCCTTC